TCCCGAGCCACCACCACTGCGTTGCGTGGCCAGAGAGGGAGCTTCACTGAAGGCACCAACGGCTGTGACCACATGCCTCCCGCGCCACCCGGCACGGCGTTTCGTGGCCACATAGGGAACCCCACCAAAAGCCCCAATGGCTGTGACCACATGCGTCCCGCGCCACCCAATACGGCGCTTCGTGGCCCCATAGGGAGCTCCCGCGCCACCCACTACGGCACTTCATGGCCCCAGAAGGAGCTCCACCGAAGGCCCCAGTGGTTGTGACCACATGAGTCCTCGCCACCCAGTGAAGCTTTTCGTGGCCAGTATGGGGGCTCTACCGAAGGCCCCAGTGGCTGTGACCACATGAGTCCCTCGCCACGCAGTGTGGCGCTTCGCTGCCCCATAGGAAGCTCCACCGAAGGCCCCAATGGCTGTGAGCACATGCCTCCCGCGCCACCCACTACGGCGTTGCGTGGCCGCAGATGGAACCCCACCGAAGGCCCCAGTGGTTGTAACCGCATGCATCCCTCGCCACCCAATCAGTACGGCGCATCGTGGCCCGGTATAGGGAGCTCCACCAAAGGCCAATCTGGCTGTAACCACATGCGCCCCGCGCCACTCAGCACAGCGCTCCGTGGCCCCATCGGGACTTCCACCGAAGGCCCCAGTAACTGCGCTGTAACCGTCCCGCGCCACTCAGTACGGCGTTTCGCTACCCCTCAGGGAGCGTCACCGAACGCCAGTGCGGTTGTGACGACAAACGTCCGGCGAAACCGAATACTGCGTTTCGTGGCCACATGGGGAGCCCCACCGACAACCACTGGCTGTGACCACGCGCGTCCCGCGCCACCTGGTACGGCGCTTAATGGCCCCGTTGGGAGCTCCACAGAAGGCCCCAATTGCTGACCACACGCGTCCCGCGACGCCCAGCACTTCGCTGCATGGCCCCATAGGGAGCTACACCGAAGGCCCCAGTGGCTGCGATCACATGCGTCTCCCCGCGCCCATTTTGGCGCCCCCCTTCACGAGCTTCGTGGCCCCATAGGGAGCCCCACCGAAGGCCCCAATGGCGACGTTCGCATGGAGGCCCCGAAAACGACCGTCGATATTTTCGTGGCCCCCTTATGGACCGCCACCGAAGGCCGCCACGGCTGCGCCAGCGTGCGCCCCCGTCCCATTCGGCACGCCCTTTCCACGCCTCGTGGCCCCATCAGTAGATCCACCGAAGGCGACGCCCGCAAAAACGATACTCACAACTGCATATGGTTGGGCCCTTCGCCAGGACTTGCTCGTCGTTCCCTCTCGCAGACTGCGCTCGTTTTCCCGGCCCCGGGGGCGGGCCCTACACCCCCCCGATGCGTCACGCCGCAGGTATGGCGCCGTGCTCACAGGCGCGGTGTGGTGTGAAACGCATGCTTTGGTGCTCGCAAGCGTGCCGTGGCGCTCGCGCCGATCTTGCAGGTATGGCGCGGTGCTGAAAAAGGCATCTCTCGGTGCTCACACGCGTGCTGCGGCGTCGGCATCCTATTGCTGCGCGCGTAGGTCAGGCGGGCGTGGGGGTGATATTCTGTCGATAATGATAATGCTGATGGCGAGGAAGGGGAACTGGGTCACCCACACTCCCAATGCGCCCTAGTAACTACTCAGAAGGCGGCGGGAATTGCACTCAGAAGACGGCGGGAATTTCAGTATCCACGCGCGCTGGTCGGTAGAAGGCCGTCGGAAACATCGGCGGTTTTCTAGCCTTCGTGGGCGGCTGAGCGCGGGTCGGCAAACTGGTCGATCTGGACCTGCGCGGGAGTCCAGGGACCGATGTCGAATGAATTTCGGCCTGGCTGGGGGAACGCCGCTGTCTCTGAGAAATCGTCGCCGCCGCCGCCGCCCTTCGCCGGTCGCGCCACGGCCACCGCCGCCGCCGCAATCGTCCTCGTCGTTCGCCGTTGTGCGTCCTCTTCGTCGTCGTCGTCGTCGTCCTCGTCCTCGTCATAAGTCATCGTCGCGGTCGTCGTCACAACCACGAATCGATAGGGAGGTCAAGTATAACCCAATAGACTTCGAACGCCCTTCCCAGATTCGATCTCTGGCTTCGACGAGCCCGCCAGGCTCAACGCGACGACGACAACGACGACGACGACGGCGACGGAAGTGAGGCATTGTGGCGCACGCAGGCGGTGTGGTGCACGCAAGCGCTGTGGTGCACGCTGTCGTCGTTGTCCTTGGCACCCTCGTCGTCGTTGTCGTCGTCCTCCTCCTCTTTCTCCTCCTCCTCCTCCTGCTCCTCTTCCTTCTCCTCCTCCTCCCCGTCGTGGTTGTCGTGCTGTCGCTGTTGGTCGTCGTCGTTGTCTTCGCAGCGGTGAAGCGCATTGTGGTCGGTCGCAGGCCGCTGCGGTGCTCGCAAGCGCCACGCTGGTGCTCTCAGGCTTGCACATGTGATCTGTTGCGTTCGCAAGCACGCCTGGCGCTCGCGCGCATACGATGGCGATCACACAATGCAACCCGCCCCGACGCGCCCCACCCCGCGCAACCGTCACCTTTACCCGGCGCTCCAGGCCCCCCCTCCCCCGGGGCAACGACCATTATGTATCTAGGCGCGTTCCTGGTGCCGGCTTCGCGCGCCAGCCCTGCGGACTCGAAGCGAGGAGTCCGCACCTCAGGACAGTTGGGAACGAGTGCAGCAAGAGGTTGTACATAATGCTTACTGGAACAAACAGTTTAACATACTGGTTTGCATTAGTAAATAAAACAACGGAGCGTATACAAAAAATGAAACGAATAAAACGAACAACGTCGGCAACCCGGGTAAATGGTGCAAACAAGGAACCAAACTGGAAAACATTGAATAACACATGGTTTCTGTTCACGCATTTCAATCCCAAACAGGTTGCGAAACAGCGGTCGTTGATTTCGAGATATCGTGAACGTCGGTGTCGTCGCACATAGCGCGCACTATGCATATGTATATGCATACATATACGTACACACATAGAACTATGTATATGTATATTGCACAACAGCTTGAGCTTCATAGCTTGCCACGCGTGCAATGTACTACAGATATTACACAAGACATCTTGCACATCCAGGGTGCAACAACGCACTGGTTGGTGCGAAACGATGGCAAATCCATGCGTGTATTTACAGGTCTGCATACCGTGATAAGTAAAGCGGAAAAAAGACGAAGCGAGGGAGACAGAGAGACAGAGAGAGATGGAGAGACAGAGAGAGAGATAGAGAGAGAGTGAGCGAGAGACAAAAATACGCTGGCCTCCTTGCGGGGCCACCAGGCTGTAGGGTCAGGGTTTGCTGTTCCCTGCGCCAGTTCCAGCTTCCAGTTCATTGTTACAGTATTGCTTTATGCTGCTTACTGTTCCTTGTTGATGGACTGCGCGAGGGGGAGGAGCCGAAAATGGCCCTGGTTAGCATCCCCTAGGAGGGTTCTCAAAATTTCCAAGGGGGGGGTCGAAATTGACACCCCTCACGCAGATCGGCGGGATCAGGGTCTCAAAACACAAGGCATTTGCCACATTTCTGAAATTCTGCGGCACCCCTCACGCAGATCGGCGGGGTCAGGGTCGAAACACACATAGAATTTGGTACATGTTTGAAATTCTGCGGCACCCCTCGCGCAGATCGGCGGGGTCAGGGTCCAAAAGCACAACAAAAAAGATATGCCACATTTCTGAAAATCGGCGGCACCCCTCGCGCAGATCGGCGGGGTCAGGGTCCACAAACACAAAAGATTTGCAGCATTGTTTTAATCCGGTGGCGCCCCTCGCGCAAATCGGCGGGGTCAGGGTCCAAAAACAACGAATGTGCTACATGTTTGAAATCGGACGGCGCCCCCCAAGCAAATCGGCGGGGTCAGGGTCCAGAAACACGTAGGGCTTGCCACATTTCTAGTAATCGGTGGCACCTCTCACGCAGATCGGCGGGGTCAGGGTCCAAAAGCATGAAGGATTTACCGCATGTTTAAAATCCGGAGGCACCCCTCACGCAGATCGCCAGGGTCAGGGTCCGAAAACATAAAAGATTTGCAACATTTCTGACATTCGGTGGCGCCCCTCTTGCAGATCGGCGGGGTCAGGGCCGAATAACACATGGGATGTGTAATATATTTCAATGCTTCGTAGAAGAGTTTTTTGTATTCTCATCGTCCGCACAATCCTTGCCCTGCTGCTACCATCTCTGTCTACTACCCAGGAAAAGGATAATAATGGACAAATATAAAAAGCTCGCCCCGAAGCCTCTGAGCCGAGACCCTCTGGAGAAGGATGGGGGAGTCCCAGCGCCCCTCGCTGTCCTAAGAGGCCCCTCTCGGATTACTCACTTGCCCCTCGCCCAAATCCGCAACTGCACGTCTTAGACTGGAGACGGAGGTACGATGAGAAATGTGGACGCCACCGGCCCTGCCTACCACAAGCCTCCATCCAACAGTATAAGCGAGCAAGCACGAAATACAACACCGAACTCAACAACATCATCATAATTGCATGTTGTCTTGCCGATTACTCATCGTCTTCGCGTGAAGTCCCGACGCTGCTCCACGGCGGCGCCAAGGTCTCATGATGTCGTTCTTGCATTACCCATTATCCGAGAGAGGGGGCTGGCGGCAGGGTGCGAAACCCTTACGGATAAAAACCGGCACACAGTGCAGGACATGCATCGACAGAGAGGAGGGAGGCATCTATACAAATTTTGGCATGCATATGTATGGACGAGACAGGTAGAGAGAGCGGGAAGGACACAGGGAGAGATAGAGAGAGAGAGAGAGAAACAACAAAAGAAGAGAGATCGAGAGCGAGAGAGAAAGATATATAGAGAGAGAGAGAGCGAAACAACAACACAACAACACATCATAAACACACAAAGACACAGAGAGCGACACCGGGCGAGAGAGAGAGAGAGACAGAGAGGGTGAGGTGCGCACACAGGTACACAAAGAACAGCATGGTGGCTCTCGTCGTCCTTTGATTCTAGCACGTCCCAGCCTCGTTCTGCTGCCCCTCCCTGGTGACCCTCTGGCGGCCGCGACAGCACCGAGCGCACCAGGCAGGACAGCGCCTGAGGCACCGCCCAGGGATGACGCGGCGAAAGCCCCAAGACGCTCCTAGCCTTGCTGCTCCCACGACTCTTCCTCCGCAGACCTCCCGAGACTCGAACATATCGAAGCTTATGCTATTCTGCGCGTGTCGGCGTCCGAAAACCGTGTTCGGGCCCCGAAGCAGTCAAACAGCGGCTGGGGTTGAGGAACTGGCCTCAGGGGAAGGGTCGAGAGGTCCTGGGGGCCGAGACTCGAAAATAGTCTTCGGAATCTTGTCTCCCCCATGATCCCCCACTCCACAACTGCAATCAATCCGCTTCCTAATCCTCAGGGAATGAGGACGAGGAAGGGGGAGGAGGATAGAAACAATGATGAGGGAGCAGGAAGAGGAAGGAGGCAACCGCAGAGGCGGAGTCTGTGAGGAGGGAGGGAGGAGGGAGAGGGAGCAGGAGTGAAACCCAAAACGACACCCGTTGACTGTATTGGAGGTGCTCGTCTTTGAGCTCTCATGCCGCCTCCCATTTTCCTCCTCCTTCCTCCTCCGTTCCTCCACCTCCGTTACTCCTCCCCGGGTCAGACGTGAGGAGGGGGGGGGAGACGGAAAGGAGGGCGAGATGGAAATCCAGGGGTAAGGGACCGATCAAAGGGAAGAGGCCCAGGGGGTGACCGTTGGCGTGGAATTGGCAATGCGTCGCCCGCGAAGCCGCACGTCGATGCTCCCCCCTAGCCCAATACCCCCCTGTTTGATATCACACCTGCGGACCGGAGGACCGACGGTGCTCGGTCATGCGAGGGCGAGCGTCGAGCTCTGTTTTCCCCTTCCGGCAAGGTGCCCGGCCGGCTCATCGGTGCACCAATGCACGGAAGCAGGCAACCCGGCCACAGCTGTTGGAAGGCACGCTCAGGGGTTGGTGAGATTGGCACGGATACAGGCCCACACCGCAGGCTTCCGGCAGCAACAGAGGAACATGCAGCCCCGAGAGCACGCAACCAATGGAAGCGGCCGGCAGCAAAAGGGGCCGGTGGAAAGAGGGAGAGCGGGGAGTGGGAGGCGGCGCGCGTCCTTGAGCAAGACGTCTCATCTGGCCTCGCGCTTCTCCAAAGCCTGGACCCAAGAACCATCATTGGATCAGGTTTGGCCAGCCTCGGTATCTGGACGTCTGAGGGTGCTCGCCAGGAAAGGATCACCACCACGTGCAACCGCATCGTCAGAAGAGCACGCCGCCACGAAACACCATCGCAGAGTCAAGCTCGAAGAGAGAGCTCGATCCGATCGTCACCCGGGCCATCAGGCAAAGGAGGTGCACCTCGCAGGGTATAGGGGAACAAAAAGTGGCATAATCATAAAATCTCTGAGGTTCGCGCGGATTTCTCGGATCGGCGCTGGACCCCCCTTCCCTGGCCCGCGGAGCGCGCCAAGGGCGGCGCTGGAGGCGCCGCCAGGGGGCCCCAGCGCCGATCCGAGGAATCCGCGCGGACCTCCGAGGTGTTATGTTTATGTCACTTTTTGCTCCCCCAGGGTACTCCAGATTTCGTAATAAAAGGGAGGGGGTCTGGACCCTCCAAGACAAGCCATTTCAGACCTCCCCCGAGGGAGAACCCTCCAAAACATCGTCCCCAGACCCCCCCCAGGCCCTCCAAGATAGCTTGGAAGAGACCCCCCCCGAAATGAGACCCCCCTCCCTTTATTACGAAATCTGGAGTAGCCTCACGCGCCAAAAATGCCCTCCCTCGAGCCATGGCATGTCCGCGCCAGCGGGACCTCCGAACCGCAGCCCAGATCTCGCCAGAGCCCCCCAGTCGCCTCCGCTCGCCAGAGCTCGCCAGAGCCGCAGCCCAGAGCTCGCCAGAGCCCTGCGGCCCTCGTGCTGGCCTCGCACGAGAACCGCTCGGCCGCGGAGCCCCTCGACAGGCCAGCACTGCTCCTCCAGCGCGCTGCTGGACCCAAACCGCGGAAGCGACGCATCCCTGCCCCCTTTCGGGCACCCGCCACGACCGAGGGTGCCCCCGCCACGACCAGGCGATCGCGTCGGCAAGACGGGGTTCCAGCTGCGAATTGCGTGCCCGAGAGCGGCGGCATCGATTGTCGTAGTCGGTACTGTTCGTCGTCGTCTTTGCCCTCATCTTTTTCCCAACCATCCTGTGGTGTTGGTTCCTCGTTTTGAAGAGACGGTCCCCGCGTTCCTCCTCTCCTCTCCTCTCCTCTCTCCTCTCTCCTCTCTCCTCTCTCCTCTCCTCCTCCTCGTCCTCCTCCCACTTCTCCCTCCCCCCCCTCCTTGCCTCTGCCCTCAGCATGTTCATGTCGGCACGCCCCTCACACGGTTCGTGGCCCCATAGGGAGCTCCACCGAGAGCCCCAATGGCCGCGTCCGCATGCGCCCTCCCCGCCGACCGCATGTCCATTCTGGCACCCTTCGCGTGGCCCCATAGGAGGCTCCACCGAAGGCCATAGCGGCCGCGTCCGCATGCGTCCTCCACGCCCACCGCATGTCCATGTCGGATCACCCCTCAAACGCTTCGTGGCCCCATAGAAGGCTCCACCCAAGGCCCCAGTGGCCGCGTCCGCATGCGCCCTCCCCGCCCACTGCATGCCCATGTCGGCACATCCCTCACACGCTTTGTGGATCCATCTGAAGCTCCACCGAAGCCCCAGTGGCCGCGTCCGCATGCGCCCTCCCCGCCCACTGCATGCCCGCACATCCCTCACACGGTTCGTGGCCCCATAGGGAGCTCCACCGAAAGCTCCACCGAAAGCCTCGGTGGCCGCGTCCGCATGCGCTCTCCCCGCCCACTGCATGCCCATGTCGGCACATCCCTCACACGCTTTGTGGATCCATCTGAAGCTCCACCGAAGGCCCCAGTGGCCGCGTCCGCATGCGCCCTCCCCGCCCGCTGCATGCCTATTTTGGCACACCCCTCACACGCTTCGTGGCCCCATAGGGAGCTCCACCGAAGGCTCCAGTGGGAGGGTTCGCATGGCACCACCGCGCCCAATGCTGCACACCCCTCGCACGGTTTGTAGCCCCATACGGAGCTCCACCGAAGGCTCCAGTGGCAGGGCTCGCATGGCACCACCGCGCCCAACTCGGTACACCCCTCACACGTCTCTTGGCCCCAGAGGATGCTCCACCGAAGGCTCCAGTGGCAGGATTCGCATGGCACCACCGCGCCCAATGCTGCACACCCCTCGCACGCTTCATGGCCCCATAGGGAGCTCCACCGAAGGCCCTAGCGGCCGCGTCCGCATACGTCCTCCACGCACACCGCATGTCCATTTCGGATCATCCCTCACACGCTTCCTGGCCCCATAGGAGGCTCCACCGAAGGCCCCAGTGGCCGCGTCCACTGCATGCCCAATTCGGCACGCCCCTGACACGGTTCGTGGCCCCATAAAGGAGCTCCACCGAAAGCGGTACCCAAAATGCTGTACTCGCAGCTGCATATGTATGGGTCTTTCGTCAGGCTAATTCCCTCCTGCTCGTCGTCACCCTCGTCGTCGTCCTCGTCGTCGTCGTCGTCCTCGTCCGCCATCGTCTTCCTCCTCATCCCAGATGCCGAAGGCATCCCAAGTCGTGCTTCTCACTACGCTTGAGGGCTGGGACAGGGCGCGCTCAAGTCTAGCCACCGGGCCCCTCCCAGGCACCGTCTCGCCGACAACGACGCCGACGAAAGCACCCCGACGCAGACGCCGAAGCCGAAACCGACGATATCGCACGGCGTTCTGCCGCAACGCCTCTGGAAAACGACCACGGCCCACCAGCGCCGCCTGGCTCGCGACCGCGCAAGCAAACGCCCGCGATGGCACAGTACGGGCCGGCGGAATGAGCGAAGCCATTCAATAACACCAACACAAACAACAACAGCAACACCACCAACACCAACAAAAACCATATCAGCATCAACTTCAATATCACCATCAACACCATCATCCTGTTCATAATCAACACCAGCATCTTCATCATCATCAGCATCATCATCATCATCATCATCAGCATCATCATCATCATCAACATCAACATCAACATCATCATCATCAATCATCATCCGTCACCCTTTGTATCGCTCCCTTTGCCCCTCCGTCCCTACTCATCCTCCACGTTTTCCTCCTCCACCCTTCCCATCCCCCCCTTCTTCTCTTCCTCCACATCCTACTCAACCCCACGTCCTCCTCACACCTCTCCTCCAAAATCTGCTCTACCTCACCGAGCCTGGGTACCGCTCCTCCTCATCCCTTCCTCCGCATGCTGCTGCACCTCCTCCTACTCCTCTTTCTCCTCGTCCTCCTCCTTCCTCCTCCTCATCATCCTTGTCGTCCTCGCCCTCCACCCTCCTCATCCACCCCCCTCCTCTTACCCGCCTTCTCAGACTGCTTCCCCCCCAAACGTTCCCTTCAACCTTCTCCTCCCCGTCCTTTCCCTCACCAAGCCTGCGTGCTCGCCGCGGAGCTGGAGCCGCCGTGGGTGGCCCGCAAGGCAGCGTGAAACTGGTCCAGGTGCCTTCCGGCAGCGTCTGCCTCTTCCCCCCCCTCCCAGATATCCTCCTCTTCCTCCTCCTTCTGGTCCTCTTCCTCTGCACCTCCTGCCCCCTCCTCCTCTCCCTCCTCGTCCTCCTGATCAGCTTTTCCTCCTGCTGATCCTTCTCCTCCCTCTCCCCCTCTTCCTCCTCCCCTTCTTCCCCCTCGTCCGAATCCTAGATGTAGCCCTCATCCTCCTTCTCCTCCTCCTTCTCCTCCTCCTCCTCCTCCCCAGTTCTTCCCTCCCGTCCTCCTCCTCCTCATCCTGCGTCTCACCCTCATCCTCATCCTCTTCCTCGATGGTATCCTGATCCTCGATGTCGTCCTCCTCCTGCCTCCCCCCTCTGTCCTTCCCTCCTTCCCTCCTCCCTCGTCGCATCACCAGACGTTTCTGCATCCTGAGACCCACAGGCCCAACTTCTTGTATTAATTTAAAACAAACTGCGCTGCATGTTTTTCCATGGCCGCGAGCGGCTCCAACACCCAACTCGGCAGAAATCAGGTGCCGCAGGATTCTGCAAGATGAGGCGCTTTGGCAGAACCCCGTTGGCGCCGGCTCATTTGTCAGCAGCTGCACGGGCCTGGCGAGGGGAGGTGGTCTGCAAGGAGTCTTTGGCAGCCATGCCTCCCACACCTTCTGAGAAACGGATGGCCCTCTTGGAAGGCCGTCCTGTCGCCCCGCCTTTGCGTGCACGCTGCCAGGATGGGACAGGGTGTAAAGCTTAAAGAGGAGGACGGGCACCAGCAGCAGCGGCAGGATCAGGATGCAGACTCGCGGGCCCACGACCAGGGCCCGTTGAGACAGCGCAAAAGCAAGAACGGAGGGATGAGAAAGAAAATGTGCAGGAGAAAATAGGCGGCAAGGTGAAAACGATGAAGGGGGAGGAGGACGAAAAGGAGGAGGAGGCGTTCGAGGAGGAGGAGGAGAAGCAGGAGGGGGAGGAGGAGGAGGAAGGAAAAGAGGAGAAGGAGGAGGTGCCTCCTTCCAGGCCCCAACCAACTTACGATCGGCACCGTTTCATCCCGCACCGCCTTCTCCCCCCTCCTCTTCCTGAGCCTCACCTTCCTGGTCCGCCTTCCCCCTCTTTAGAATCCTGCATCCTTTTTCCGACTGCTCCCGCTTTCGCGTTCGCTGTCCCGTGATCTCTATCACTCTCTCTCTCTTCCCCTCCCCCGCGAAATCGTTACAATACATACATATATGTAGGATGCCCCTCTCTGGCTGCCTTTATGTATCGTTACATGTATGTATCTCCCCTCTCTTATGTGGTATGTGTTATATATTACATGGTGTTGCTAACTGGCGTGGGCCCCACCGGGTAACCTTCGAACGCTGAACGTGATGCACTATATGTGGACAAAGTGCTAACTATGTGGAACAATATATATGTGGTGCGATTTATGTGGTGCCATATGTATTGTGTAATTTGTCAAACAAACGAATTGACACATTCCACGCTCTTGCAAACATCCCACCCACCCACCCGCAACTTGGTTTGCAAAACCCATGCGGTGGCGATTGCGATGCATGCTTGGTGTTGGCTGGTGCATCTCTGCGGCCGCGCCGGTCCAAGCACGCGCGCGCAGCGGCCAGCTAGTTTGGCGCGACCGACGCGGCCGCGGTGGCGCTGACCGTTGGGCGAATCCCAGCGGGCACTTCACTGCGAGCCGGCGACTTGGGCAGGCGCGGTACCATGGCAACGTCGACAACGGTAGACACGATGATGATAGTAGCGATGCTGGCGGCGATGCTGACAACGACGACGGCGCGGCCAGTGCGGGCTCCGATGTTGATCGCGCCGACGACGACGCGTCCTCGCGTCGGAAGTGAAGGCTTCGAAAAAACAGTTTGGCATGCGCGCGCGGCTGAGCGGCACGGAGTGGCCCGCATGGTACAATTTGGCACGGGCCATGCCCCCCCAGCCCGCGCGCAAGGGCGTGCGAATGATGCCGGCATGCGGCGCGAGAGGCCCGCTTGGCAGAAGTCCATGAACATGTCGAACAACCAATGGTTTTATCAAGCATTCGCAAGAACGCGGGCGCACGTTTTTTTGAAAATTGATGTTGCGGAACCATGTGGATTTTGATGTTCGGTTGACAACCGGTTTTGAAATCGTAACGAAACCACCGGTTTTTGACGGATGTCGGCACGCGCGCTCGACAACGCGCGCGCGCACTTCTTCTCATGTTTTGCAAAAGGCGTCTGGCGACGGCACGCGCGCAAGGGCGTTCGAACAATTTCGACATGCGCGCGCGAAGCCCGTTTGGTAGAATTGTCTGAAAATGTTGGCAAACCCATGTTTGTCTGGAGGCAAAAACAACAGGAAACGAAACAAGACTTCGCAAGAGCGCGCGCGCACAAGTTTTTCTTCATTTATCAAAAGAGCTGCGAAAGCCTATGGTTTTAAATGTTTGTTGGACGCTCGATTCTGAAACCCTGCGAAACCAAAGGCAACCAAAGGTTGTTGAAGGATTTCGGCATGCGGGCGCGACGACTCGCGCCTGCGTACTTCGTCCCATTTGTTGTAAGGGATTATTGAAAGCTTTATGATTTGTGATAAACGAATGCGCGCGCATAAATTGTTTTGCAGGAGATGGCGGGGGGAACCGATACCGGCCACCCCTGGGATGGTCAATTCATATTTTGGGTAGACGATGGGGCAATACGAACAGGGGATGGGATTGGGGGGGAGAGAGTCTATTTTCTTCTTCGGAAGAAAAGTATACGGCTATCGGTGGTGGCCAATATATGTAGTGTAACCCGTGTGATTCTATCAATGCGGAACAATACACATGGGTGGTGCAACCAATGTGGTGCAATCTGTATGGTGCAATAGTTGTCTTGCGACCTATGTTGCCTAATCCGCGGTGTGCATTATAAAGGGAACCAACTATACTGTGCAATCCATGTAGCGCAGCGTAGGGTTACCATCTAATGTGGTGCCAAATCTAAAACCATCGATGTGGTCTGACCCATGCCGTGCAATCTATGCTGTGCCGTCTATGTCGTGCAGTCTATGCTTCGCGATCTACGTGGTGCAATGTATGTGGTGCAGCCTCTGTGGTGCACGATTTGTGGTGCGCCCTATGAGGTGCTCCATGCACGTTGGAGTGCAATTGCTGTGGGCGGCGACGAGGAGGCGAAGGGGTGGCGACGGTGGCAAGCCACCACGCGGACAGACAGGCCCAGACGACGGGAGGCGACGAGGCGGCGAAGGGGTGGCGACGGCGGCTACATAGCCGCCAGACCTGCAGACAGGCCCAGACGACAGGCGGTGACGAGGTGTCGACGGGGCGGCGACGGCAGCAACATAGCCGCGGCAGACAGGCACAGACGACGGGCGGCGGGGCCGCGACGGGGCGGCGACGGCGGCTACATAGCCGCCAGACCGACACACCAGCCCAGCTCCGTAGAAGAGAAGTAAGAACTGTGGGTGAATTGTGTATTGCGCATGTTGTGCAATGTTGTGGAATCGTGCATGTTGTAGAGCGTGGCATCTACATGTTGCGCATGTGTGAATCGAACTAGTACGTATGTGTATATCTGTATACATACATACACATCCCCCGCTCCCTCCTCCCACGTTCGCTGGGAACTACGTCAATGAACGACCCAACGCAATTCAGTTCGAGTCAGACCGGCAGAGATGGTCGTGGCTGAGACTCTGTACGAAGACTGTCACTCTCCTCACCACCTTCCTCTCGGGCGACGCACCCTGCGAACCGTGAAGCGATACTGTCTTCGCACCCCCGCGATTGTCCCACATCCTGGCAGAAACTGGCAGAAACTCTAGAAGGAAGTTCGCCATCCTCACACCCAGACCTCCGACGTCGTCTGCTTGCTTCGGCGTCGGACCCCCAGAGCTCTCCAACTCCATCCCCGGGCCCTGTGTCTCACAGTCGGCAATTTTCTGAGGGTCGCGGGGGGCCCAAACGCCACCCTGCGGATGTCGAAATGGAGGGAACTCGTCCGTCATGTTGTTGGATCCTCTCCACCAACTTCTACTCAGAACCATTCTCTGCCAGACATCATGCCGACCAGTTTCTAAAGCTGTGTCCAGCCAGCTACAGCCACGAGGGTTTTCAAGTAGACCCAAGGAGGCGAAGCAAATTCAAGACACAAATCCTTGTTCAGGGACCTCCAGGCCCAGAAAAAGCCACGAACGGCCAGCAGCCTAGATCCTCGCCTCCTAGTCACGCACACGCCTTAAACGTATTTCGACATGGGACACTGGCCTTAGCACCGCGAAACCTTGTCTCGAAACTTATAGCACTTGTGCGGATGGAGGGCCGATCCTTTTCAGAATGGAACTCTCGCCTCAGCGCCGCGCACACTCGTCCGAAACATCAACCGGTTAGGAGGATGAAGGGTGGCTCATGTTCAACATGGGGCTCCCGCCAGTGCCTTTCTCACCACCACAATCCGAAGATCGTGCAGCAATTGCACGGGAGGATGGCGATTCCTCTTCAGACTGGGGGTGCTGGTCGAACCTCTTTGCCAACGTGCACGAGCAGAACTTTCAGAGTGCGGGACGGCTGCGCTCCTTGAGCGCCGCTCCTTTCCGCAGCGGGGCTGTCGCTTAGGGGAACAAAAAGTGGCATAAACATAAAAACTCGGAGGTCCGCGCGGATTTCTCGGATCGGCGCTGGACCCCCCCCCCTGGCGCGCGGAGCGCGCCAGGGGCGGCGCCGGAGGCGCCGCCGAGGGGCCCCAGCGCCGATCCGAGAAATCCGCGGGGACCTCCGAGTTCTCATGTTTATGTCACTTGATGTTCCCCTATCGCTGGGCATTTCTCGAACGAGCACGAACCTCAACTGGTGGAATCCCCGACAGCTCCAGCGGCCCAGGGCCGACCTCCCACCAGAATTGCGGGCCCGCGGGCTGCTCGCCTGCCGCGAGGCTTGCAAGAAAGGAATGGGGCCTGTCATCGAGGTGGAGGAGGGAGAGGATGAGGAGGAGGAGGAGGAGGAGGAGAAGGCGTT